TCAAGCGAAAATTTAGGAATAAACAATCTTGAAATTTACGCATCTTTATAAGCGAAATTAATTACTATGGAAACGGCTGGGGCGACCATTGTGATAAAAGGTCTAACAGTTAATTCTTATTCACATATCAGTTACCATCGAAAAAGAGGTCAAGTCGAACTAGGGTTGGGTATCTATTTCAAAGCGGCTGATGGCATTCATGTACGCACAACCTCTGGTCAGTTACAGCTTTTGGCACTATGATATGTCGTGAAGTGTATAGAGAATTTTGTTTTATTTTATTTATTTATTTTCCAAATGGCTGTTACATATATAAACGCGTCGCACTGAACTACAATTAGTTTTTTGACGACTTCATAAAGGGTTTTTCTCTTTAATGATTGGGTTAAGCTTTTAAGCCCTTTATTAAACTATAAAATTTGATTTTTTTTTTTTTAAGCTAATTATTTAATGCGAAAATGTCTATGGTTTAATAAATTTCCATTATTCAGAAACTTAATTATGTGCAGTTTCGTTATTTAGAAAATTAATTATGTTTCATTATTCAGAAACTTAATTATGTGTAGTTTCGGCATTTCTCTGAAGAACATTCCGCACACAAACAGAGGAATTAATAAGAAGAATGAGTTGGAAAGCATTCTTCCTCCTCCGAGGGAATAACTTAACGAAAAAAGAACATGAGGTTTACGGCTTTAAAAGTAAAAAAAAGTTGCACCATTTAACAAAAACCTACAGAAATTTGAAAAGGACCTACTCAATATAATCAATAACATCTCCTTTCAAAAAAAGAAAAGCAATTTCCAAAAACATCTAGACCAAATAGTCAAAAGCATTAAGCGATAAAATACTAGTTAAGTCCGACAAAAAGAGAAACTTCTACAAATTGACGGCAGACGACTACAACAAATTAATTAAAAAAAAATTAACTAAGACTTATAAAAAAGCTCATAACAATATGAATATGGTAGACAGTATCAACAGAACTAGTAAAATTATTACTAGACGTGATAGGGTAGGAAAACTGGCTGAAAAGGAATGCTACATCACTCTTAAAGACCACAAACGAAATTTTGAGGAAGACCCCACTACCAGAATGATAAACCCAACCAGACCAGACATAAGAAAGATAAGCAAAAGCATCCTAGAAAGGATCACTAGGCAAATCAAAAAATGCCTTGGATTGACACTCTGGATTACTACCAAAGAAGTCATCAATTGTTTTACCAACCTCGACAATAAACCTGATTGCACCCTAATATAGTTCGATATTGTGGATTATTACCAGTCAATATCAAGAGATCTCTTCACGGCTGTCATGGAGTTTGCTACAGTATATTCTAATTTAACTAACGAAGAAATGAATATAATCCTCAGTGTAAAAAAAACCTGTTCTCATCCATAATGGTGCCAAGGGATTAAAAAGACTAGTGACACTTTTGACATCCCCATGGGAACTTTAGACTCTGCAGAGTCTTCCGACTTTGTCGGTCTGTTTATGCTGTACAATCTAACCGCGCACCGTGAATTAGACATTATGGACATCGGGCTATACAGGGACAGGCTCATGGTAGTGAGGAGCTCCACAAATTTTAAAATATATAAAATTAGAAAGATAATATATAGTGAATTCAGAAAACTAAATTTAAAAAATATAGTCAACACTAAATTATTATTATTATATTGTTTGGATAAAATATACATACATACATACATACATACATATATATATATATATATATATATATATATATATATATATATATATATAACCTATCTCTCTCACTATATATATATATATATATATATATATATATATATATATATATCGGGGTTACAGGCATCAAATAAAATTACGGTTGAATACCAAAAGACATCATATCGTCCTGCACTGCATTTCAAGTTTGCCAAAAATATCCAGGCATTGACCCTGGTTTTTGCGTAAAACTTGCAGTCGATCGCAGTGGCTGGTTCCATGCCTTCTTAAGAAACTGTCCTGAAGGCGCGAAAAAGCAAATCTAACTGTTGGAGATCCCAAGACGACTGCAGGAAGCAGTGAAGACAAATTTAATTTCAGACTTCCATTTCAGCTTCCCCTTTTCACGTCTGCCGTATGTTTACTCTTATATATATATATATGAAAATTTCTCTGATTTAACGAGTAGAGAAGACAATATTTATGAATAAATACATCAACACAGATATAATGACAATATTCTCCACACGTGACAATCTCTGACGTTATTTTTCATTTAAAAAATATGAAAATAGCGTTTCTCTCCATTCCAGTTGCTAGGTACATTCTGTTTTTGTTTTTATTAGTTACTTTGTTCATTTAATTTCATTTTCGTATTTTGCTTTGATAAAGTCCACATTGGGCGAAACGCGTCAGCAATTACCAGTTTTCCTATTGTCATTTTTATTCATATATATATATATATATATATATATATATATATATATAAAAGAGGAGAGGTTCTGCGAACGTTTTTGGTGTAATGTGGATTCTTTTTTTTAATATTTTGCTTTATTTTCCATAATTTTACTACACGTGTTTCTGGTCTCACGACCATTTTCAGATAAAAGGCGGAGATTTCCACATATTATTAAAAGTAAATAATTTTTTTCTCTATGTTTTTCAATGTTAAACATTCTCGATATGAGACATTCTCTGTTTTTGTGTTAGTAAACCGAATGTCTTTCTTGAATTGGCAGTAAAAATAAAGCATAATATTAAAAAAAATCCATATTACAGCCAAAAACGTTCGCGGTACCTCTCTTTTTGTTAATATACAAACTTTTCTCTTGTTGGAACCCCTATAACCTCTTTCTTATATATATGTATATGTGTGTGTATAAGGTGTATATATGTGTGTGTGTGTATAAGGTAGAATACATACATATCTATCTATCTATATATCTATATAATATATATATATATATATATATATATATATATATATATATATATATATATATATATATATATATATATATATATAGATAGATAGATATTTATTTATTTAAAAGTATGGTTCCAACGCTACATAAAAAATACTAAAGAACTTTGGATTATTTACCTAACGAGTTCTTTCCTATTTTCTATATATTTTACACACACACACACACACACACACATATATATATATATATATATATATATATATATATAGTGTGGATATAGGAATCCACACTGCTTGATGATTGGGAATTACAGACCAAATAGAAACGTTGAAGTGTGGAACTGACATTTACTATGAAGAGTAGATTCCTCTGTCCATAATGTCTGTATCTAAAAACACTATATCTCCGATTATGAACGTATTTCCCTAAAAGGCATAGAAAAATGCTTAGACAATATATGTATGTGTGCGTGTGTGCGTGTCGATTTGAAAAAAAAAAAACTTTTGAACGACAGGCCTTAAGCATGACAATTTGGCTGAATCCCATATTTTTAGACAAATTATCGACTCAATGTTACCAACGATTCGGTAGTGACTTTATGGCATCACGATAAAAACTGAGGTCACGAGTGTTGACACACTGCCGGAAGGTATTTTCAACCTTGTCTGTCTCGCTGCGTATCCGTTGGCCTTTATCTCTAATAAATATCGAATATCCGGAAATAGTGATAATCAGTAGAGGAAAGAATAGACAGTGTTGGGCAGGTGATAAATGCATCAGTTTGCGGCGTATGTAATGTTTCTTTTTTCCAGCAGGATAAGCTCTGTTTTTTTTCCAAATTGTTAGGCAAGCTTTTTGCAAATGTCGATGCAACAAGTGGGAATCATTATAATGATGACTTGAAAGGCGGCTAGTAAAACCAAAATAGTTGCAAAACTCAGACAATGTCATGATTTTGATTAGCATAGAGTAACCACATTTCAACAGGAATTAAATAAAAAACGGACCAAACTTCAACAAAATGTCAAACAGGGCATACCATCAAATCATTTAACTTTCTTTTTTCATTTTACTAATTGGAGATACATGTCTTCTGACAATTTTTATTAGATAATTACCGGATTGACTCCCAATAACTGTATATTTGTTTCGGGATGAATCTCTGATGTTATGTCCAAATCTTAATCTTCATCCGACGTCTTGCGACGAAGGTTTCACCTTTTATATCACGATGTTCAGAAATTAATTTTTTTGGAACGCGTTGTAAAAGTAACTCCAACTCCCGAACTGTTTATATTCCAAAAGCAACTGCTTGATTTCCAACTTCTGTGATATAATAACAGGAAAATCACGTTTATTCATCTGTCTTCCGATATAAAAAAAATAATAAAACATTCAAATATCCGGAGGGACAAAAAAGTAAAAAATAAAAAAAAGTCAGTGCTATTAAATGGTATATAGATAAACACATAAACTGAATGGAACAATAGCAATAAAGACGTAAAAAGATTACATAAATGTAAAGTAAAAAACGGTCATATACTTTGCTACGAGGAAAGATTTATGAAAGTAAGTCTTAACAATAATCAGCAAGCTAGTTTGACAGCCGTTAATGAATCTATTGAGTTCTGTCTTCCTCGATTAATCTATAACCTTTGCTTTTCTGTCATACGAAGACAAACTTCATAAATATTGATAAGTGTGTGAATGAGTAAATATTCTAGAGAAATAAGGTCGTATTTGATCGTCTCATTACAGTATAACTATTGTAGTGCCAATAACCTGCCCCATTAGTGCGATGGGGAGATATGGACAGTACGAAGGATCCCCAGGAATCAAATTTAGGTCTGTTTTTCATCTGTTTTGTCTGAAGATTAAACAATACTGATAATATATTGAGATTCCCAAAAGTATAAATATGACAGGTGTGTTTAATATTAAGGGTAGACATAAAAATGTGTTGAGTCGAGAGAATGAGATTTTTGAGATTGAGAGAGAGAGAGAGAGAGAGAGAGAGAGAGAGAGAAAGAGGGAGAGGCTGAATCAATTACATAATTAAGATTTTAACACATTAATGTGGATACATATGTAACACAAACATGCACACATTCCCGTATCTATCTATCTATCTATCTATCTATCTATCTATCTATCTCATTTCGCGTATATATATCAAAACCAGTTTACATATGTATAAGTTGACATCTATCTACAAAGCTAGCTAAGTCGATACCTACAATTATCGATAGATACGTAACTCACTCTGTTCCTATCTACCTAGTACAGTCTGTTCCTATCTATCTAGTTCAATATATTTATTCATTCTATCTATCTATCTATCTATCTATCTATCTATCTATCTATCTATCTATCTATCTATCTATCTCAGTTGGTATATGTCGATCAAAATCAATTCATTTATGTGTACAGAGTTATCTATCTTGATAGCTAAAGACCTAGCTAGTTACTTAGAACCACCAGTTTGTCCTTCCTATCTATCTATCTATCTATCTATCTATCTATCTATCTCAGTTGGTATATGTCAAAAATCAATTCATTTATTGTACAGAGTTATCTATCTTGATAGCTAAAGACCTCTATTACTTAGAACCACCAGTTTGCTCCTTCCTATCTATCTATCTATCTATCTATCTATCTATCTATCTATCTATCTATCTATCTATCTATCTATCTATCTATCTCAGTTGGTATATGTCGATCAAAAATCAATTCATTTATGTGTACAGAGTTATCTATCTTGATAGCTAAAGACCTAGCTAGTTACTTAGAACCACCAGTTTGCTCCTTCCTATCTATCTATCTATCTATCTATCTATCTATCTATCTATCTATCTATCTATCTATCTATCTATCTCAGTTGGTATATGTCGATCAAAATCAATTCATTTATGTGTACAGAGTTATCTATCTTGATAGCTAAAGACCTAGCTAGTTACTTAGAACCACCAGTTTGCTCCTTCCTATCTATCTATCTATCTATCTATCTATCTATCTATCTATCTATCTATCTATCTATCTATCTATCTATCTAAATCCACATATAGCTGCACAGCTAGTTAATGTGATAGTTAAAAGAGCTACCCTAGCTAGCTAGGAACATTTTCCTCTCTTTCTCTCTCTCTCTCTCTCTCTCTATCTATCTATCTATCTATCTATCTATCTCAGTTGGTATATGTCGATCAAAATCAATTCATTTATGTGTACAGAGTTATCTATCTTGATAGCTAAAGACCTAGCTAGTTACTTAGAACCACCAGTTTGCTCCTTCCTATCTATCTATCTATCTATCTATCTATCTATCTATCTCAGTTGGTATATGTCGATCAAAATCAATTCATTTATGTGTACAGAGTTATCTATCTTGATAGCTAAAGACCTAGCTAGTTACTTAGAACCACCAGTTTGCTCCTTCCTATCTATCTATCTATCTATCTATCTATCTATCTATCTATCTATCTATCTATCTATCTATCTATCTATCTATCTAAATCCACATATAGCTGCACAGCTAGTTATTGTGATAGCTAGAGCTACCTAGCTAGCTAGGAACATTTTCCTATCTATCTATCTATCTATCTATCTATCTATCTATCTATGTGCTTGTGTGTTCTTATATTTTCCACCTCTTTCTACATTTATTCGTTTTTTTCTAGCGTTTCATTACGTAGGTAATAGTGATCATTTACCTTATTCCGTAATAAGAGGAATTACTAAAGGCCTCTACAGGGAGACATACATTGCCAAAATCATCACGAGAAAATTACTGTATTTTGTGATCTTTCCTAGCTGTCCGATTGACATTTGCCCAAATCAATACATGTTTTTGGAAGATATTTGTATCTTAATTGTAACCCTCCGATTCATTCAACCCCAAGTAACAGGATCTTCTACATGGCAGTCCGCATTTCTTTTACATAGTTTTTGAATCTCTTCTTTGGTTTATTCTGGGGTCGAGTTTGGTAGAGCGTTTGTTTTGCTGTTCTACAGTCGTCAAGGCGAATGGTATGGACTTCCCATCTACGCCTGCGGTGCTGCATTTGCCTTCGATGATAATTACATTGGTCTTTTCGAAGTCTACAGTGCCTGACCTGTGGGATATCAAATGCAGTCAGACAAGGTCAAAATGGCAGCTGAAATACAAAACAACCTCAAGACAGTCGTTAACTGGGGCAAAAGATGGCTTGTCAATTTTGACGCCTGCAAATCAAAAATTCTCCCCATTTCCATCAGCCATGCTGATGGAAATGGAGAGAATTCTGCCTTCCATCAGCATGGCTGATACTATCCCCCAAGAAAGTGGTTTCCTTGCGCCTTCTCGTGCTAACGTTCTCAGCTGACATGACGTGGAAAGATTACATTGGATTCATCGCTAGATCAGCTGATAAGATATTCGGTTCAGTGTGTCGGGTGAGACAATTTTTCTCTCCGGAATCTATCTTAGATATCTATAAGTCGATCGCAGTGGCTAGTGACATACCTTTTTAAGAAAATGTCCTAAAGGGAGTGAAGAAGCAAATCCAACTGTTGGAGATCCCAAGACGACTACAGGAAGCAGAAAATATAAATTGAATTTCAGACCACCATTTCAACACCCCCATTTCACGTCTTCCGAAGTGATTGCCCGTGCACTAACATTATATCGCACGATAAGCGTATGTTTGCTCTTATATATCTATCTGTATATTAGACTAACGCATAACATTTTTATTAATTCATTATTTCCATTATCATTACCATTACAATTCGTCCATGCTTAGAATATTGCTGCCATATACGGTCCAGTTGCTCTATTACTTTCCTGGAGTTCCTTGATGCGACCCAAACAAGAATCAGCAATATTATTCGTCCTGATCTGGTTACTCGGCTTCACTCACTTGACCACTGGCGTAAAGTTGCTTCTCTGTGCCTTTCTTATAAATACTTTGGTAACTCTTCGGATGAGCTTTTCGCTATGGCACTTAGATTGTAAATTGAATTTTAGCGCAATACAAGACTGCCGGCGTGATCTCATCAATTTACATTTAAGTTAGCTAGATGTAACCGTAAATTCTAGGCTAACAGTTTTTATATCTCGCACTTCCCGCTACTGGAACTCCCTTCGGGCTCAAGGCTTCCAACCAACTTTAATCTGCAAAAATTTAGATACAATGTCAATCTTTTATATTTTTTTCACGCATGCGCGTTGTTTGTTTTTGATTTTGTCGATAGCACACTTTTGTAGGGTCAGTTGAGCACCATCTGTTAGACGCAATTCAATGCGCCAGAAATTTGGAAACGGCATACTGTACTGCTTGGCATTCGTGACGGACGCTCCAATAGGAATATTTCAGAGTGTTTTGGCGAGGATAGTGCAGAGGCTTCAGAAAGAGTTAGATGAAGTTTAATGGGGATTACGTAGGGAAAGCAGCACGGAAAACACACTCTGATCGTTCTGATAAAAGAGAATTATCGAATTTGTTGGTGATGACCTTAGATTCAGCGCGAAGGCCCACATCAAATGCCTTGAGGAGGAAGGGCTGTTCTGGGTGAAGTGGCTGACTACTGGAAGACCCTATGTCTGGCAAAAGACCTTAGCACCATACCACACAAGCAGGAGAACACAATGATAGTTGTCAGACAATTTACACGATCACATCAACCTTATATCTGGCTACCTAACTCCCCAGACTGCAACTCCCTTGATTATTATGTCTTCGGGGAGAGAGAGAGAGAGAGAGAGAGAGAGAGAGAGAGATAGCGAGCAACAAAACTCTTGTTAAACCAAAGATGAACTGAAGGCAAGGATTATGGTAGCATACAACAACTTAAACAAGGATACCGTCTAGAAGAGTTGCAGGAGATTCCAAAGTCATCTGGAAGCTGTCGTCGAAGCCAATGGCGATTTTATTGAATAAATCTACTCTCTGCTATTTCAAAATATTTGTTATTTTGGTAAATATATCTGTTAAAATGAGATATCAGTGTAATTTTAATTTTTGCGTAATTTAGACGACAATTTATACATCGCAACCAGTCTCTCTGTGTCTACCACCCCTCTCTCTCTCTCTATATATATATATATAACCAGATGGGTAAATATATGTAGATGTACGAGCGAACGATCGTATACAAAAACATATCAGTGTAATTATATTAATACATATGAATGTAATAAAAAATATTTAAAAATATTTCAATCTCTTAAACAAAAGAAGTGAGTTGATGAGCCCCTGCCTACCTGCCAAATTTCTGCTCAAACACGTTGACCCAGATTGATATAGTCTAGCCGGGCCCAGCGTCCACATATACTAGTATGGATATTAATTTTTTAATATTTTTGCTTTTTACCTTTTTCTAACTTTACTATACAACTACGTTTAATATTAGACCGTAACGCTTTTAACATTTTTGTTAATCCATTATTTCCATTATGTTATTATTACCATTTTTAATATATAACTATTATTATTGTCTTCTTTTTGTCTTTTCCTTTACCTATAGACGTGTTTATTTATTTATTTGCATTTATTATTTTTATTTAATTATTCATTTATTTGCCATATTTAATTATTTATTAACATATTAATCTGTTTCTATTTATTTATATATCTATATCTTTTATATATATTGTTGTAACCTGGGGAAGTTTACTGAATAGAATAATCAAACGAAGGTTGGTAATGAACGATAATACTTAGGACAAGAACAGCACATATAAGATTCGCCAGCGGTGTGTGGAAGTAATCAACTGCTATAAGTGAGTCAAGTGAATTCCACAATGAATCTCCAAATGCAGGATATCTACCAACCTCCCCACGCAGTCAGAAGTGGCACAATGCCGAATTTAATTTGGGGTATCCGAGTAGGTTGGCTCGGCCAAAAATTCCCTGTAGACCACGTATGAAACGGGTCCGGTTAGCTATTTCCCGAGACGAGACTCTGCCCTTCGACATAACCTCGTCTGGGGATCCTCTCTGTCCGGAGGCAGAGAGTTTGACCAGAATCTCAAACTGCAGAATAGATACAGTATTGATTACTATAATTATGGGAATGGGGGCATACCCATTATCGTCCGTAGATATGCTACAAGATATATATATATATATATATATATATATATATATATATATATATGTGTGTGTGTGTGTGTGTGTGTGTGTGTGTGTGTAGCTCATATTTTATTTTACTTTATGTTATTTGATATTTTTTATTTTCATTGATATATATTATATTTATTATTACTTTTTTGCAGCAGTATAACAACGACATATTTTTATTATTGATATCACAACTTTTATTTACTTTAGTAATATTAATATTGATAATATTATCAATTACTTTATTGATTTTCACGGAAAAGATTAGAGTTACCCCCCTTGAATTTTTGACGTCTCTTCTTGTTCATTCCTTTTATAGCATCAGCATTTCTGTAAATAAGAATTTATAATTCTTATTTCCAAAGTTATTTTCAATCTTAAATGTTAATCTGGGCCTAAATTCAGATTCAAAATTAAACTAAAACTCATTTAAATATTATAAAAACAATAATATTCCAGTGTAACTATAAAGAAAACTTCATTTTTTTAAACGTGTGTCAACCCAAAACTAAAATACTAGCTCTTGCTAATCGCTTCGGCATGAAACTCAGTTTTGCACTCACTGTATGGTGTTATATATATTTCTTAATATATATATATATAGAGAGAGAGACACACACACACAGAGAAAGAGAGAGGGAGAGAAAGAGAGAGGGAGAGAAAGAGAGAGGGAGAGAAAGAGAGAGGGAGAGAAAGAGAGAGGGAGAGAAAGAGAGAGCAGACAGAGAGAAGAAGGAGAGTAAGAGAAGTGATATATACTGCCACTATGTGATAATATATATTTATTTCAATTATATATGGAAACTCTCAATAAGTATATCTGTATCATAATATATATATATATATATATATATATATATATATATATATTATATATGATACAGATATACTTATTGAAACGAGTCTAGTTATCTATATTTATATATATATATATATATATATATATATATATATATATATATATATATATATATATATGAGAAAAATACAGATGGGGTGAAAATTACAGTTCGTAGCATTTATTTTAAAAATGATCAATATAAAGTAGAGCGAAATATTTTTATTTTTTATTATAATAAATTACAATTAAACATTCTACATCGCTACACACACACACACACACAAAAACAAAGACTTTCATTTTTTTCCTACTGAAATGGTATATAAGTAATGATAAAAATGATTTATTAAGGAAATTTAAAACAAAAAACAAATTATTACCACTTTCCGTAAGTTAATGTGGAGCATCAAGTCAGGAATAGGGCGGAGGTGGGTGGGTTATTAATTCTTGCTATGAAGACCGATGCTTAGGCATGTTATTCAACGATGTTAAGGAACAATTATGTCGACAAATCAAATAAAAAATTATGATTTACCAATTTCTTGAAGTAGACATTAATTTATCACAAACTATTTTTTTTTAATTATTTAAAAAAGTAAATACTCAAGAAGCGTCTTTAAAACATAAAACTGGGATAAAATTAAAAATAACGAACCAACTATATAAGTTCTTAATTATGCTGAATAGACGGTAAAACATGGCAATATTATAGCTGAATAAATAAAATAAATGTTGTGTGGACAATTATATAGTAA